GATTTTCATTTATTGTTAGGCATAAACACTTAAATATTTAATAAATAAGGAAATAATGTTAAGAAACTGACTGAAATAAAATCTTAATACTTCTCAATTTTCAATCTATAGACTGAATTGGACTTCAGGAAAATGTTAATACCATTTAGTACGATAAAAAACTTGACATTCATAAACGAACACTCATGACATTGCTAAAACGTCCTACATGAATAAATGATTTTTAACTTGAATGAGGCTATTTGTATCAAAGTTATATATAAGAAAGTTTTCTGCTATAAATAGACACGAGTTGTTTTTGCGACTTCATCCACGTGCACACGCTATCTGTTGACAATAATCAAAAGATACTAATAAATAAAGCATATATATAATATTATTGATTATTTAACAAATGTAGTATATTTAATATTAATAAGTATAAATACTAATTTACCACTTTGTGGGGTTCTTTATAAGGATATTGTAATCTACATGTTAGCTCGCATTTAACAATATAAACAGGATGTCTGCTAAATTAATGAAAAAATGCAACTAGGCATAATTAGTTATTATTTTATTTGAATTATGATCAAGTTGATCGACAACCTGGAATGGAAAGAGATAATTATCGATTCACGCAAAGTGATGCAAATTGGTTCAAAGTGATAACATTAACAGCATCACGAATATCGTATAAATTACATTGTGATGCTTGTGATACCTTTTATGTCATTTCAATCTTGAGGATATGTTATATCAACCATACTCTCATCTTCATGTTCGAAAACATATGGCATTGTACAAAATTTCTCACTAGTAAAATATAGTTTAGTGATATATAAACAAATAAAATTATCAGTATTGTTAGTTATCACACAAGAGAACATCTAATCGTCATGTAATATGGTACACAAGCACTATTCAGAACGGAGTAGGCTCTAAGCTACTTTTTATTGCTGTTAATAAATACTATGAAAAAGTCTCTGGTAAAATGAATAATTTTATATACTGTGCAGTCAGACCTAAAATAAATACACGAGTTTAGGATACCATAGTGCATTTCTTTATATACTAAAGCCTTTTAAAACTAATATATTATACGGAAACATAAAAAAATGTGTGTAGAGCTTTGTAAACAAACTTTAGTGTAGTTACTAATGAACTAAAATAAATGGATGTATACATATAACTTGTCTATATATTGTTTGCCAATTTTAAGCCGCCCGCCGGCATTGAGGGTGGTGCAATCAATTTGCGAGGATTAAAGGATGCACTTGTCATTGATGTACGTAATTAATTAGCCTAACTGGACCAATTAATTTATAACTAAAAGCTTTAGAACTTTACATTACTCTGTTCTATAACAACGAACTTAATTTCATTTCTTTGGTATAAAATAGCAGTTGTAATTTTTTATTACATCATAATCATGTGAAATCAATGTGAAAGTCTAAATCATTTAATCACATAGGACACTTTCGGCCTCTTTTTTATGGATGATAATGAAATGGTGCACCCGCCTGCGCCAACGGTTTACGCTGGCGGGGCTCCAGTGGAGGATGATAAGATGATCATGAGATCAGGTCAGTTAGTCAAATCACCATCGTGACAAAGTCAGCAAAAATTAATCACAATGGTTTCCAAAGGCAACCCCGTGGAGATCAACATGGTAGCAGTAAGATCATCAATCCACATTACTAACAGTCTGCTATCCCCCCACTATCGGCCTCTTATGCACGTCATATTTTTTGTCACTGATCCTACCGTTCAGTTCGGCTAACTACTTCAGTTGCCAGGGCGGCGGCCATGGCGGGGGCGGCTGCTTCCCCGTCGACATCGCAACCCTGTGAAGCCTACTGGAGAAGTAGCCTTCTAAAGAAATGTAGAGACCAGTTGAGATGGGTCCCGCAGTTGGAGTTGCGGTAGAATGCACGCGCACACCAGTAGCTCTGGAAATAAGTGGTAGAAGTACACGTTGGAATATTAGCCGCTCGGAGTCCAGCAGTATCTGCTTGTTACCACTGGAGCGGGCGAGTCTCCATGACAGATTTCCTCAAGCGAAAACTAAGCTAGTTCAGTTGAGAAGAACTGGCAAGAAACTCAATAGGTACATTTTATTATTATTATTGTGTTATTATAATTATACCATTCTTAAACATAGAAAATTAGACTCAATGGTATACACAAAATGATTGGGGTAAAATTGAGAGAAATTTAGGAATTGGTTCATTAGTTACACATAGGTAAGATTACGTTAGGGGTCCGCGGGGTAATTTAATATCTCTAATCTCAAAGGAAATCTTCTTCCCTATTTAATAATATAACAGGATATATTTAAATTGGCCGTGATTGAAATGGTAAGAAATTAGAACAATTTAAAATTTTGTTACACAAAGAAACAGGCTTCAATGCCTAACGTAAGTAGAAATAAATCTTTTCGATTAAGAAGAATCATATAACATTAGTTCCGAATTGCCTAAAATATCGCATGTATGTACTGCAAGATCTTTTTATGAATTCACCTGGCAAGACAAGAGACATATGTATATGTAAGATGTATATCGTCTTTCGGAATAATTTGTCTTCTTACCGAAATTTGCCATTATCTAAAGTATATGAAATATAATTTGCATGATGTTATATTTCTGTTTTTCGACTAGACTTGAATCCATGACGTCAGGAGTATCTATCCATATCTATCTATCTATCTATTCATGACGTTAGGAGTATAATTCGGGTTGGTACACTACTAGATCTAGTAGTATGAAATTACTAGATCTAGTATTTATTTAAATTCTATAGTATATAAACATCTTCAAACATCAAAGTGCAGAAGAAGGCTAATTTAACTTTGTTTTTGTCTACGTTAAGCGACTACTGTAGTGTCTACTTTTATGTTAGTATTATATTTATTAACTTCATTACAGTCGAAGTGGTTTATTATATAAATATGACAAATAATCTTACTGCTCATCTGATAGTAAGTGGTGACTTACCATCAGATGAGCAGTAGTACCCGCTGTCTAATAATATTTTCACATGATGCCCCTACTACTTATATTTTGCCATTCATTTATAATTTAAAATTAAGTTAATATAACGAAAACTCAAAGGTTTAAAATTAAATATACCATTTCGTACATTTCTTAAAAATGATCATCATAATCTCATTAGTTCATTGGAACGGCCGTCTGTTCAAAGATTCGATACAGACTTCAAGGAATTACAGATTCTTTAAATTGGCACGACTGGCCACAATAAAGTATACATTTAAATTTTAACGGTTATATTTAGGGGTGATGAGGGGTATGTTCGAGGTCTGTGTATCGAGCTGTCTGTAGCATCACATCTCTTAAACTACACTGATTATATTGCGGTTTTTTTTGTTTCAAAGTTTATATGGTCGGGATGGTATTATCTACTAACTTTTTTTTCTATTGTGCCCCGAAGAGATACCTAAAAGTAAGTAGTTTCAATTATATAATTATTAAATATATAATACAAATTCCAATATATAATTTAGGTATAGTCAAATTTTTCATTATTAAACAACACTAAACAATTACTGTTTTCATTACTTTCTTACTACACAACTATTGATACATACACGTATTGTCTACCTAAATAAAATAAAAATAAAGGAATACTAAGAATACTAAGAACTATAATAAAGATTCAGATAACTATTTACAGTCGTAGAAACACATTTAGTACTCACAACTTTTAAATTAGTTTTTAAAACTACATACCGTTTCAAGTTCATTAGTTCAGTATCGATAGCAATCTTAATTATTCTTTAACTCTTTATTTAAATGTAAAGGACATTAATATTAGACATTAGTACATATGTACATGTTCTCTATAATTGTACGAACTTTCTTCGAAGTATTTTTTAAAATAACTTCCTATTAAGATCATTGGCTCAGTCCATGCTTTGTGAGAAACGTCTACTAATGGAGCTCTCTAATCAATATGAATGGTATCTTCTAGCTTCAAAATCGTACAGCATACAGACGTTAATATGTTGTACAATCGTACATAGCATTATCGATAGTAACATTATAACGAGATACCTAAGTCCTGACTAAACTACTGAAGCTGAATTTTGAACTGAATATTGTATTTATACAGTAAATTTGAAGTATAGTGAATAATATAATATAATTTAACGTAAAATTTGAAGTATATTCTTTAAATATAGAAGATGAATACTGAGAATATTTTTTAATAAATAAATACAGTAATAAAACGATGCGATTCGCTTGTTTCTGCAGTGCTTTGGCAATGTTTGTAGAACCAGATGGTTTTCGTGTCAACTGGCGTAAAAAGAGAGCCTTATTTTTAAATGGAATATGCGGGTATGGTAAATAAATTGACGGCAGGTAGGCCTGCAGTTTGGTATAAAGAAATTATTCCCTACAAAGGTTGGAACGTTGTAAAGATATTTATTTATCTGTTAACTTGGAAATTTAGTGACTTGTAGCATAAGAATATGATGACTATTTACCTTAATTTATTTAAGAAGTCTAATGTGTCTTCTAATACAAAGAATTGGATACAATTTTGTTTGTTCTTGAACTAAGAAATACGCCTTCAACACAACTCAAAATCGTCCCCTGGGAGACAAATCGGGGATAAATGTACATACAATTTATGGTACATATAAAAAGATTGTATAAATTGTTTAGCTAATGCAAAGTTATACTTTTCCTGAGTAATATAGATAAAAATATTCTTGTATCCACGGAATTTCTCAGGGGAAAGGGTTCGCGCATGCCAAGTCTCGCTAAATACTTAGTGCAGAGCGAAATACGTTCCAAGTCATAAAAACTCTTTATTAAGTGAATTCCATTTTTATTATTTAAAAGTAAAAATACAAAATATTCTAGAACTTTATAGTTTATTGCTCGACACTTGAACGGTCTGCTGGTCGGCCGACCGTTGAGAGATGTCGTCGTAGTTAAAGAAAAGAGCTTGTTTTCAAAGTAAAATATAATAATTTAAATATCTATGTAATCGTCCGTCTTTTTTCCTTGTCGAGTCTGTCTTGTCAATTCTTTCGTCTGTCCTAGTTACGTCTTATATCCGGCCAGCAAGCAGTCCTGTCAAGGAGGCCGCAACATCCCCACCTCCAGTATTGGAAACCAATACTCTAAGTGCGGACGTCCAGTCTGGCGAGCCTCGTTGCTGGCCGTTTATATAGTCCGGTCGAAGTCAGCACGTCAGCTACTCGGACCCTACCGTCCTTCCCAGGGTACACAGCTGTCACTCGTCCTTTGGGCCACAGGTTGCGGGGAAGTTGGTCATCGACCACAATGACAATGTCATCGATAGTTAGTGGTCGTGTCTCAGTCTGGAACCATTTGTCTCGTCGTGTCAGAGTTGGGAGGTACTCCTTGATCCAGCGTTTCCAGGTCAAGTCGGCAAGCCGTTGAGAGTGCCTCCAGGATCGTCGCAATACCTCACCGTCATTACAGGTACTAACAGGTAAGTCAACAGAATCAGTCTTGGTCATCAAAAAGCTGTTTGGTGTCAATGGTAAGTCGTCGTCCTTGTCAATCGGTACGTACGTCAGGGGTCTGTTATTTACAAAATGTTCTGTCTCGGTAAGTAACGTAGACAACACTTGATCACTCGGGGCCGTCTCTTTTAGAGTGATACGAAGCGCTGTCTTGACGGATCTCACCATTCGTTCCCAACAGCCTCCCATGTGAGGAGCATTGGGTGCGATGAAATGCCAGTCGATGCCCTTTACAGTGCCAAAACGAAATAATTCGTCCTTATCTAAGGATGCTACGGACTGCTTAAGCTCACGGTCGGCTCCTTTAAAAGTAGTGGCGTTGTCACTCCATATTTGTCTTGGGCATCCACGTCGGGCTATGAATCGTCGGATAGCCATAATCGCGCTACTAGTCGACAGGTCATGTGTCACTTCAATATGGATTGCCCTTACCGTGAGGCAGGTGAAAAGGGCCCCATACCTCTTCTCACGATGACGGCCTACCTTCACCAGCATGGGACCAAAGTAGTCCAAGCCCGTAAACTGGAATGGTCGTCCACCAGCTGTCAGTCGTACTTCGGGTAGTTGTCCCATTAAAGGTGGGTCAGGTCTTGCTCTTCTTATTTTACATACTTGACAGTCGTTCCAGACAGACTTGACAGCATTTCTTCCACCAATTACCCAAAAACGCTGTCTTAAATTGTTGAAAACCAGCTCTCGTCCTGTATGGGCTGCGTCTTGATGATACTGGTGCATTAGCAGACGAGTATAATTGTCTTTTGGATGCAAAATGATGGGGTGCCTAGTATCACTATTAACGTCGGCCTCACTAATCCTCCCACCAACGCGAAGAATGTCGTCTTTGTCTAAAAAAGGTGTCAGCTGTCGCAAGCAACTGTCTTTGTCTACCTGTCCAGACTTCTTCAAACAACTTATTTCATTATGGAATAAGTTTCCCTGGCTTTCTTTAATCCACGACTTTTCTGCTATTTTAATTTCGTCTACTGTTAATTCACCCTTCTTTCTATTGTCTTTGTGGGACCAGTTGTATACAGCTCGAAAAAACCAGGCGGTACTTCTTATTAGCCTCCAGAATTTAGAAAAGCGGCTGATATCAGGTAGCTCGAAAGGTACAACTGTTAAGACGCAGAGAGTTTTTACTTCAATGTCTGTAGGATCCACAGCTACGTCGTTATCTTCTAATGGCCAGAACTGCTTAGACATACGAAGAAACTGTGGTCCATGTAGCCACCTCACGTTATCCTCAATTGTCGTGTCTCTTGTAGCGTCATCTGCAGCGTTCAGTCCTGATGGTACCCACCTCCAGTGATTGACGTCGGTTATCTCGGAGATCTCACTGACACGATGAGCGACGAAAGGCTTGAAACGACCGCTATCAGAACGCAACCAGCTTAAAACAGTCTTAGAGTCAGACCATAGCGTTACGCTTGTGTCAAAGTGTCTCTTCAAGGTTTGAGCTAGCCTAGCACCCATGAGTGCAGCTTGCAGCTCGAGTCGGGGTATACTCATCACCTTCAGCGGAGCGACGTGAGCACGTGCCATGATGAAGGATACGTGACAGCTTCCGTCTACCGTCTTGACACGAAGGTAAGCAACGCTTGCGTATGCCTTACTACTTGCATCGCAGAATACATGTAGTTCTGTAACTTGTTTGTCACACATGTCAGTAAAGAACCAACGCGGAAGTCTAAACGTACTGATCTTTTGAAGTTCCGTCAACCATAATTGCCACTTCTCGAAGTGACTCGATTCGACTTCGTCGTCCCATCCGATTTTAGATTTCCACACATCTTGTAGGAGTATTCGACCCCTTACTGTGACGTACAGGAGGAAACCCAATGGATCAAAGATGGACATTGTCAATCTCAACACGTCACGCTTGGTTGGTTTCTTTAGCCCGGTCTTAATGTCCTCACTTACCTTTGGAAACTTGAGTTCAAAGACAAACTCATCAGTCTCTTGGTTCCAGCGTACTCCAAGTACACGCTCGATCTGGTCATCCTTGGAGTCGGAGAGAATCTTCAGGCTACTCGGAGCAAGCTTGTCTATAGGTAAGTGCTGTAAAAGTCTTTGGGAATTCGAAACAAAGTTTCTTAAGTTGAAACCACCAGAGGCATGTATACGTATAACGTCATCCACCACTCGTATTAAATCGTCCTCGTCGTCAAAGGAGTGAATGTAGTCGTCGACATAGTGATGGTCAACAATTGCCTTTACAGCCTCAGGACAGGTCGTCTCATATCTGCGGGCATTAATATTTTTGACATATTGTGCTGATGATGGTGAGCAGACTGCTCCGAAGGTCATAACATTCATTATATATATGTCGTCGTTCCACAGAAGTCTCTGGGCATGTCTGTCGTCTTCTCTAATAAGAACTCTGTGAAACATTTCTTGAATATCTCCAATAACAGAAAATTTACCTATACGGAACCCTAATAGTACGGCAGGCAGAGATGTCAAAAGGTCCGGTCCGCTCATTAAAAAATCGTTGAGTGACCTACCATCAGACTTGGCGGCACAGTCTAGTACTATCCGTAATTTGTTAGGCTTATTAGGGTTGAATACGGCAAAATGAGGAAGATACCAGGTTTTGGTTGTCTTGACTGAAGCTTCCTCTAAGGATAGCTTCGAAATATAACTCTTGTCGAGGTTCTCCTGTATCTTCTCCTCATACTTGACGGCAAACTCAGGGTACCTATTAAACTTTCTCTGAATACCTGAGAGTCGACTCTTCGCCTGTGGGTAGCTGTTAGGAAGCTGAACGTCATCAGACCTCCACAACAAGCCAGTCTCCCATCGTCCTTCAGGCAAGAGCTTCGTTGTCCGTTCCATAATCTTCAGTGCCAGCTGATCCTCTCGAGAACGAGGAAAGTCGCCTGTCTGCTTCACACCGAAAGAATCTGTAGAGAAAGATCTCTTCACCAGGTTATGTAATTCGTCACAAGAACAGAGATGTAATATAGTACTGTCATTCGTTATACTACTGAACCCAATGTTTCCATGTAAAACATAACCCAAGTCTGTCTTAGAAATCATAGGTCCGTTCTTATGTCTTTGTATTATTTGTCTAGTTATAATTAAGTCGATATTGTCTTGTCCAATCAGTAATTCAATTTTTCTAGGTCGTATGTTATAGTCTGTCACATAGTCTTTTACATAAGGAAATTTATTTACAATATTTTTATATGAAATACTATCTACAGAAATGTTCAAATTATTTATAGAACGCACACTATTTACACTATACACATTTTGTTCATTTATACCGCGAATATTAAACGACACTATTTTTGAGTCCGTCTCTGTAGTTGACATTCCAGACGCACCGCGCATGTGTAAACTTCTTGTCGGTCCGGTAATGCCGGCCCTGTCGAGCAGCGCATTGTCAACTAGGCTCAAAGATGCTCCTTCGTCTAGGAGTGCAAATGTAGTGACATCACCCTTTGTTCCTGATACTACCACCGGGATAACTTTCAGTAGTACATGAGAGTGTTGGTTGTCGATGCTCGCTGTCATTTCGGTATGGTTGACTGAAACCACTCTCTCTCCGGACTCATCACGCGGAGCAGCATGAAGCAGGGTGTGATGTGCACGTGTACAGTTAGGTACTGAACATTTAGTTTTTCTCCTACATGCTTTCAGCTGATGTCGCAGAGATAGGCAAGAAAAGCACATTTTTTTGTCAGTTACCAGCTTCCAGCGGTCGTCAGTAGTCATCTGCTTGAAGTCATCGCAGTCACTTAATCGATGATCTCTGTTACATAGGACACATGAAGCTGAATAAGAAGATGTCGCAGCTATCACTGGTCTCCATTGTCTATGTTCAGGCTTAGGCGGCAGTCTCGGCATAGAATTATTTACATATTTTACAGGAAGCGGAGCAATATATGTCGCGGCATTAGCTACTGTCATTAGCCACTCTGAGACGTCGGATAAGGTAACAATATTTACATTTTTATTTGATATATACATACTCCATTGATATTTCAATAAAGACGGCAATTTTCCAATTATTTCCCTTATCAATGTGGGATTTGTCAAATGTCCGATTTCATCTGTCATTTTCATAGTCGCAACAATATTTTGAATTGCAGTCGCGTATTCTATTAAGTGACTGACATCGTCGTGACGTATATCGCGCATGGCTCTTATTTTATTTAACATGACTTCTATGATTAATTCCGGTCGACCAAATCGTAATTTTAATGTGTCAATAATTAATTTCAGGTTTGTTGCACTCACCAACAGGGCAGATACAGCGTCACGTGCACGACCCTTTAGGCAGCGTGATAATCTCGCAATATTTTCGTCGTCGCTATAACCACATAGGCGTGTTGTCGAATTATACTGACTATAGAATAATGCCCAGTCTTCTGGGTCACCGCTGTACATAGGCAACTCTTTTGTGCATGTCTGTCTGGCTAAGAGTTTGGACATATCATTCTCTAGTTTACATGTATAATGATGTGGCGATTGCGGAATATGTTGTGGTACTGTATGTATGACAGGCTGTGTCTGAGGATTAGTATTGACGGCCATTGGCATGGTCTGAGGCATACTGTCGTGATGTATCATACCTGAAGTTGTAGGCAGGTGTATCGATTCGCGGGACTGATATCTGCTAGGCGTGATGCAGTTGTCTTCGTCTTCCAGCGCCTGTGATCTTATTGCAAGTCTCTCTTCAATCAGTTTGGTCTGTACTAAGGCGCGCTCTTCTGCGGCTTGTAGTTGCAGTTGTAGGAGTTGTTGTCGTCTTACTACACTCGATGTTGACACATTGGACCGAGCGGACGGTGTAGGTGAGGGCTGGCGGCTACCGTGGGCGGACTGTCGGTCGTGTTCACCCTGGTCAGCAGTAGCAGGCAGCGCCGTCGGTATTGTCGCCATCTTCGCTTGTCTTCGTGTCTGCACCATAGGTTGGTTGAAAGTTGTCTCGAAGGACCACTTGAACGGTCTGCTGGTCGGCCGACCGTTGAGAGATGTCGTCGTAGTTAAAGAAAAGAGCTTGTTTTCAGAGTAAAATATAATAATTTAAATATCTATATAATTGTCCGTCTTTTTTCCTTGTCGAGTCTGTCTTGTCAATTCTTACGTCTGTCCTAGTTACGTCTTATATCCGGCCAGCAAGCAGTCCTGTCAAGGAGGCCGCAACAACACTGTAAAACCTTTACGTATTTAATTAAGCTATTGACGTACCCACCTTGATTAATTTAAAAGTTTCATCTAGTAAAACGTTTTTCCAGGAATTTCAGTATTTTATACCGCTTATAAAATTCTACGTAATGCCATGTTTGATTTTCGTTAAAATACGAGCAGTAAACAATTATCAATAATTATTTAAGTATTTTAATTAAATGTAGTTTTAATTAGACCCATACAGTTTCTCTATCATTACTTTATGTTTCAGCGTGAGGTGAAATATATATATAAAATCTGACGTAGTTAGTACGTCACGTACTTACGAAGTAGATAGAATGAATTAGTAAGAAATAGTAAGTAAAATGAATAATCTTAATATTACAGTACATTACTTTTACCACAAATTTAACACATTTTTACTGACAAATTAGTTGTGTTGATTTTTCTCTAGTTAACCTGCTTAAAAAGCAATTTAATCTAATATAGATGGATAAGTCAGAACTAAAAATTTATAATTCTGAATATAACTTCCATTTATGAAGCAGGTACTCAATAAAAAAGGATTAATGGAAATTCTCACGAGATCGGGATAACGAGCTCCGAGCTGGTTTCTAACTTTATTTTATTTATGTAATAATGGCTCCTATATGAATATAGTTTGTAAAAATCGCATATATACTGTTGAAAACTATAAAAAACTATAAATGTATGGATATTTATATATACTTACTTATTAATTTTGAATATTTTTATGCTTAGAATACTGTATATGGAATATTTTGTACTTTCCCTGTTACTATTATAATTACTAGTGGTCGCCCAAGGGCCGAAATTCGGTCATAATTAATATGTAATAAGTTTGAAAGTTATTTAGATTCTATTGTCGAAGACGTGTGTGTTTAATACAAGGTAGTGTGTGTAATATGTTTTTTTTATAGATTTCATGTACTTTTTATGAATAAATAAAAAAATATTAGCATTCGTTCTCTATACAAACTATAAGTGTGCGAAATTTCATACTCCTGCGACCGCGCATTTTCGTAAAAAGGAGTACAAAGTTTTTAATACAATTTTCCACTCGTAGTTTTATTTATCGTCCACATACAACCCACTCATCTATCGCCCAAGTATAAATCATGACTTAAAACGTCAGATGTACTATTATGAGCCATGAAATGTGCAACTTAGTAATCTCTTTAATTAAGTTACCACTTTAACTGCAACTTCGCTCGTGAGTAACTTCTTTCACAATTCAGCGAGATTCTTGCACAAAAGAGAGCAGATAAAAGCTTCACTTTACATCTAATTGTGGTCATTTTAGTGATAATTTTATACAAGTAATAAAGAACTGAAAATAATTTTTTTTTATCATCGAAATTTTATTATCATTATCGAAATTTGACATTCTTGAGTTCTCGTCTATTTGGGTGCCCTTACACGGTACGATTTATATTCAGAATCAATAGAAATCGGAATCGTCACCTATACACATCATATAAACGTCAGATGTAGAGTAATAACTAAGTACCTGAGTACATAATAAAAATCATCTACTTGAATACTTTAGCATTACTTATTTCAGCTGCTAAGCAGCTAGCTTTGTTCTATGTTTCGGCAATAGAGTGAGATTAGGCAGTAAAATTACAGGATTAGAAGCTTGACATTTTAGTCTTTTGGAATGGCAATGCATGAGTGGTATCATGTTGACGTGATATCTGTAGGTGCCGTTCATGTTAGACATGGTAGACTACAGTTACCACTTACCATCATGTCGGCCGTTCGCTTGATTGCCATTTCAATTACATAAAAATAATGATATAAAGTGTGAATTTAAGATTTCAAGAAGGTGTTTAAAAATTAGTCAGCCAGTGTACGTATACCGTGAGTGCTGTGTGTGTCACGATCTTTCATTGGAAATTGTAATGACGGTAGTTGAAAAATTCTGATACTTACTGTCCATTGGGTTACTTTAGTCAGCTCATGACTACGGCTATTGCAACATAGTTGAAATGTCGAGTGCTATAAATATTTTAATTTACCCTAAAATTATTCCAATTAACTATTATATTTGTATATATATATTCAAATTTAGTTTTAAAAAAGTGTAACTAATTCAAAGTGCTTAAAATTAAGTTTATATTGTAATGATTCATTGAAAAAATATGCAGTATAGATATACGTTCCATTTTTAGATTATAAAATGTAACGACAGATCGTTAAGATTATCCCTGAATGTATGGTCATCATTAGGTGCTATAGTAGCACTATTACATTTTATGAGACAATTGGCAACGGCAAACAAGCTAATAGCCTAGTTGATGAATAGTAGTAATCACAGGCATAGAGTTACACATTTAAAGAGATAGATAGCGCTGATAGACGTCGGATGTACCTCAATTTATATGAAAACTAAGCGCGCCATGGCTAAACGGTTTGCTTTGATGTTATAAACTCTTTTAACTGAACTCTTTTCATGGAACTCGGTTTTCTTTGCCTAAAGGATCCAGAGTAGATTGTGTAGATAGATAGAATAATCTTCTGAACTACAATGGTCGCGTGTTCGGTTCCCGAAAAATGCAAATATTTGTATTTAAGAGTACATGCTCGAATTTGGTATAGTGTTTTTTATGGATATTGTTTATGTTTTCATAGAAAAATATATTTATTGTAAATAAAAATGTATATATGTAAGTTGTCTAGTATATCACATAATACAAGCTCTTAGTTTTGGATTAGATAACATTGTTACCGACATTTATTATTCATAGATATTCAAATTTAACGAGTGCAATAATTTCGATTTTACTATGTCCTACTATCCTCCTTATAGTCCTATGCAGTAATAAACATTGTCAACTGTGACTGGTAAACCTTAATTTTACACTTTTTTTGGTGTTATGGTATATCTAATCGCAGTGTGGTAGGGCGAGTTTGAAAAAAATAACATAAAAATATACTGAAGATCGTGGTATAGTGATAAAAACACGACTTGCAGAAGACACCGAAAGGTTCTATGTCAATAAATAATTTTGTGTTTGGGTTTGAGCTGCCTACCTCCATCCTCGGGTTAATTTGATTTGTTATGGATATATTCTGAATAGATTCAGTTAGTAACGAATATAAATTACACAAACAGTTTTATATCAAATTTGAACCTACGACATATATGGTCGAAGTTGAATAGTTCTGACCCCGATGCTCTCCATTTCAATTTTTGTCATAGTAGTAACAAAAGGGGAGGTTTTTGTTAGTAATTCAGAATAGTATTATTGTTGTAGTGGTGTCTTCACAGCGTACGCTATTAGTGCAGGTGACATTCCGTACTCATACACAAAAAAACTATAAAAATTTTATATATGTCATTGTATAATATATTACAACTATAAATATGTTTTTGTACGAACTAAGAACTAAGAGTGAAAATCATATACATAGACATTTATATGGTTTATAAGAAGTACATACAAACAATAACGTGAAGATATGGACTTTGCTTTATATTATTTATACAAAGTAAGAAATTATATATTTTTATTTAATCGGAATATCCAATAAACTTATGTTGCTTACGTTTGGGCAAACATGTACACCATTCCATTGTCATCCTTAAAAAACTAGTACCGGTAACCGGTAGTAACCGGTAATGTTACTAAATCGTCAATCCGGAAACAAGATTACGAAGTACTCGATAGCTAATCGCATTGTCGATTAGCATTACCAGCAAATACTAGACGTCTTTACCTAAATGTCTTTAGATATTCTCTCTGTCTTCTGAGAGAAAGCGACTTTTTTACGATAATCTTATGTTTTGTAGAACATCAAAGTACGTATGGTATCATGAATTTACTATGTACTTGACCTAACTTAATCCTCATCCCATCGTCTTCCACTGTTACCGATCTGTGAGTGCAGACTGGTTTACTGTTTAATGCACAAATAAAGGTGCACATGGCTGATTTAACACCTCAAGACATTTTCTCCCATTCTACCATGAAGCAGATATTCATGTGGGTGGTGCATTTTCAAAATTAAGTGTGTAAAACTATTTTTGACATACAATATACGTGTGTTAGATGGGACCACATTTATACATAATATATACATATAAATATAATAAAATTGGAGTTGTTGTTTGTAATATTGAAATAACCATTTTCTACTGCATGCATATATTATTATAAATACGTACAAACACCAAAATATTTCTTTTACAATATTTGTCTGTCTGCCTGTTTATACCGGATAATCTCTGAAATGGCTCGACCGAATTTGACGGGACTTTTTTTAGCGGGTAGCTAATGTAATAAGGAGTAACTTAGGCTACTTTTATTTTTGAAAAATAAAGTTAAATTCCACGCGGACAAAGTCGCGGGTACAGCTAGTATTTGTTAAAAAAATAGACAATATGTATATATACATACTCGTACATACAAAAATTAAAGTCAGGTACTATTCCAACATTATCCATTGAAAAAAAGGAACTAATTACAATTTGTTTTAGATTATCAGACGTCGGACATCACAATTCATCAGGTGAGCCTTTGTTTATACATTCAAAATGGCAAAGAAACTGACGTCCTCCTGATGGTAAGTGATAACCATCGCATATATAAACAAACAACACCACGTACATATTATCAAGTACCGTCCGTGACAAGCGCTGCCGTTTCGGACGCTAGTCGTCCCTCTCATCCAGTAATTGTACTATCTATTCTCATCCTACATTTTAAACACAGTTTATAAAGCAA